TTAAGTGCTGATGTAGCTAATTTTTTTGCTAAGTGATTGATTATTTTACATTTTCAATATTATGTGGAAAATCCATCATGTAAAAGATGATTATGTGAATTTTTTTAATGTTAAATAATTTAAAAACTACTTCAATTCTTAATTTTACTTTATTTATATTTAAAAATTAAAACAATTAATATATTTTCCCATTTAATTAGTCCCACCTACCATAAGTAACTCTTAATTTATAAAGAAATAAATTAACTCTCATTTAATTTTATTAAATCAAATCTCACCTACCATAATTATTTTCTAATTCATGGAAGAATTAATTAACTTTTATTTAATTTTATTAAATGGAATTAAAATAAAATTAAAATAAAATTAAAATAATTTTTTGGTTCTTCTTCCTCAACCTTCTTTTTTGTTTAAATTATTAAAATAAATTGTAATTATTTCCTAATTGATTCTTTCATGATTAAATTTCATTTAATAAAATTAAATAAAAGTTAATTGATTTTTCCATGAATTAGGAAATAATATTAGTATGTGAGATTTGATTTAATAAAATTAAATAAGAGTTAATTTATTTCTTTATAAATTAAGAGTTACTTATGGTAGGTGGGACTAATTAAATGAGAAAATAAATTAATTATTTTGATTTTTAAATATAAATAAAGAAAAATTAAGAATTAAAGTAGTTTCTAAATTATTTAAAATTAAAAAAAAATCCATATAATCATCTTTTACGTGATGGATTTTCCACCTAATATTGTAAATGTAAAATAGTCAATCACTTAGCAAAAAAATTAGCTACATCGGCACTTAATTGAAGAAAGAATGAAATTGGTGCTGAAAATTAAGGTTAAAGGATGTTTTCGGTACTTTCTGAAGTTTAAGGATGGATTGATTCAAAAATAAAAATTGAGGGACCAATTCAGGTATTTAATCTAAAAAATATATTAGCCACATCAAAATTAATATTCTTATTTAAAAATTAACAAAATTAATATTTTTAAATAAAAAAATATAAAATTAACTTCTTTATTTACACATTTACTTTGATATAATGCATTCCAGATGTTATCTGTTAAGGTATCAATGACCCTAGTGGTTAGAACTTTGAGAAATGATGCTCTTCTGATCTCTTTCTAGTTGTTTAGTGCGTCTTGGCAGTTGCAGAAGTCCTGATATTTTACTCGGTCCGTGTGCTCTTAGATCCAAAAGGAGATATATAGCTTCTATTTAATTAGTTTAGTTGCTAGCAACAATCGATAGTTGCAGTGATTAGTTAATAGAATAGTTAAAATTAGTTTATAATCAATTTATTAATTGATGTTTTCGAATATATTAACTAATATTTAAAATCAATCAAATCAAACACGTTTATAATGTTATTACAGATGTAGTTAATATATCATAATATATATGTTTTTTTTTTTTACAAAGATAATAATTGATAATTAAAAATTAAAAATTAATATCTTATTTTTTAATAAAGTTTCGAAATACGATATTTAATTTATACAATTTAACGTAATACTGTAAACTTAAAGTTTACCACGTACTTTCTTAAATTTTGCGGCTGACCTTTGTAAATGTGTCAGCTTTAGGGATTAAAGCACCCTTCCTTTTTTAATATTAATCCATTTCACTTATATACTTTTGTATTTCAAATATAGTCGACTAGATAACGTTTTTCATTAGTCTCCATAAAATAAAATAAAAAATTACCTAGTAGTATATTTTGTTTGAGGGAAATAAAAAGAAAAAAAAAAGAGATAAATGAAAAAATGTTATATTCTTTTATTTTTTATTTTTTTTTCTCATTTCAATAAATAAAAAATTAAAAAATAATAATAATAATATAAACTACTCTCCTCCCTCAAACAAAACATATTATAAATTATTATATTTAAGTATCCAAGCCAACTTACTGGTAAAGAGATATAGGTTTTTTTTGTCTATTAATAAGACAACAAATAGAGTTACATAACCCATGTTATTAAAAAGAAATTTGATCAATGTTTAGGTGAAATTTATATCTGGTAAATAATCAGTTCTCTTTTCTTTTTTTCTTTTTTTCTCCTAACTTAGGTTAATTTTAAAATTTTATACTCAATTTTGATTTTTATTGTGAACAGTATTTGCACATCTCAAAGTAATTCCTTCTCTTTGAATGCTAAATACTAAGAATTGAACCCAAAATTTAATCTATAAAATAACATTTATCTATTAATATATCTATATCTAATTTTTAAAAATTAAAATTTTTGTTTTTTTTTTTTGAGTGGCAAAAATTTAGCCTTCATTAAAAACCGTTTTTTTAGGTTTTGGTAAAATATAAAAAGAATCTGCATTGTACCTAAGACCAACAAGGCACGTGCTGCACGAGGACATCAAACAAGGTTTCACATTTAACAATAAAATATGAAATTAATTTTAAGGACCTTTCCTATTGCATATGCCACAGAATCAAAGTCTTGTTGAATTCAGCGTAAAAACTATTTAAGAGTGATGAAGACATTGTATGCTTGATCTGTGTTCTAATGGGCCCCTGCGATGGTTTGACCACCCAAAAGTTATGTTTGAAAGGTAGAAATAGTGGACTGGAAGTGTGGAACAGAAGAAAAAATCAAAAGACGACTTCTAATTAACATGATAGTGCCACATTGACTAGATTAGATATCTCTTTTTGAAAATTGGCAATGGGACTAGATTAAATATCTTAATTGGAGACTTCTTCTCATCTCCTTTTGATTAATTTTGTGCTAAAACCTATACCATTTAGCCATTGGTGGTGTTTAATCTTTTTAACTTAATAATTATAAGTCATATTATAAGTGTACTCACAATTCGAGAGTTACATTTTAAATCATTCACACTTAAAAGTGGTAATCTTCCAAAAAAAAAATTCAAAAAAAAAATTGTAATCCTCCAACAAAAAATGAAAAAAATTTAGCCATTAGTGGGTAACAAGGCCCTCGGGATCCGAAAACAAATAAATATTCACTGTTATCACTTTTGGCTGATAAATATATATAGGGAATACTATTTATATATATTTTTTTATTTTTGAAAATTAAAAAAAATTATTTTAAAATTTACATTAATTTAATAAAATATTATAAAAAATAAAAATAATTTAATTCATTTTTTAAAAATTAAAATTTTTAATTTTTTAATAAAAATTTATTAAAACACGTAATTTTAAAGTAATTTTTTTAATTTTTTAAAAATAAAATAGATATATATTGAAAAAAATGCATATCAATCTCGATTTTCAATAATAATTGAAGTTTCAACACTAAATTACATTGTTTTATTTAATTAAAATTTAATTCAAAATTTAAAAAAATATTTAAATTTAAAAATTAATAAAGTTTTTAAATTTTGAATTAAAATTTCAATTTCTAAATATAAATTAAAACTTCAATTATTTTTTATAATTAAAATTGATATGCACTAATCCCCTCATTATCCACACACTCCATTATACCCTTCAATTTCCGTTACTTTCCATTAATTACACCTTAACTCCGTTACCATCTTCCCTTTCTCCTACTTTCTCTTTACCGTCTTCACCAACCAGACCAAACCTGTAATTGCATCTTGGTTCTTTGATTTTCAACCTTCTTTTCCCTCCTCCTTTCTTTTTCTTCTTCTTTCTCTCTCCTCCCCTCTTTTTCCTTCTCCCAAATCTAGGTTCTCCAAAAGAACCCCATGGGTTCTCTTGGAAAACCCAGATCTGGGTTCTCCATAAGAACCCATGAGTTCTCCTGGAGAAGGATGATGGAGGACAGAGAGAGAGAGAGAGAGAAAGAAAAGAGGATGAAGATAATGGATGAAGAGGATGAGGATGGATCTTGCTAGTCAAGACGGTAAACAGCAAGGAGGAGAAAGGAAAGATGGTAACAGAGTTAAAGTGTAATTAATGGAAATTGAAGGGTATAATGTAGATAATAAGGGTAAATCTATCATTATTCTATTCCTTTATATGTAGAGAGACACATATACATGTATATCTAGAGGTCATCATCACTTGTATAAAAATTTGGACGCATCTAACCTAAAACAACTTAGGTGGCACTTAACATAAGCCTAGGCATGGTGGCTAGGAACGGAGGTTTTTAATGGGCTAAAATAACAAGGTTTAATATAACTCAAATAAGGTAACTTAACAGTTAAGGGTTTGAGATTTCAAATTGAAAATCTCAAGTTTGAGTTTTAAATCAGGTGGAAAGAGATTTGGAAATAGAAAAAGGCTATCCCTTTTTATATATCTCATAATCAGATATTACAAAAAAAAAATAAAGAAGCTTAATATGAAACAAAATAAGTCTAATAAAAATAAAATTTATAAATATTTAAGTTAAAATTAATTGACAATAAATAAAATAAAAAATAACTTATATTATGTTCAAGGTTTTTTTTTTTTCTTAAAGCAGTCAATATAATTTTTTTTCTTACTTAATATATATTTTTTTATAAAACTACTAGGTTTTTTTAGGAATATCAACTTTAAAGTTTAGGGGAAAAAATGGAAGTGAAAGGCAAGTAGGCAACCACGTCTTCTCTTTTTACACATTAACCAACCTCCAATGTTAGGATAATATATACGTACAAACGTACACTTCGCTTTCCATCTCCACTCTTTAATGTCGTTTTCATTATAAATTTCAAATGAAAACTTCAACACACATCCCTTGTGCACGCTGAAGAAGCAAAACCAACTCAGATTCGACTACAAAAGATGTCATTATTAACTTTATTATAATAGAAGAACTTGACCGGAAACTGTAGACTTTGAAGAATACTTTCCATAGAGGAAGGAGCAAACATTTCATACATTTCATTTTCCAAGCAAGAGTCATGTTGTTTCCTACTATATTGTTTTTTTTTGTTATTTTCAAACCAAAACACCACTGCCTTTGTTTCCCAAGTCACGCTTAATTAAGTCTATCTGCCGTTGGTCATGGAAAAGGAAGAATAGAAAAGTAAAGTCTGGCTGGAGACATGCATTTGAGGGGAATTTGGAAAGGCCAGGCCGAATGAATAGTTGGTCTTCCACTACATGAATTGGGAAAACACAAGGAAATTTAACCAAAACTTTAACAAATTCGTCTAATGGAGAATATATCTCAAAGAATATACTTTTCTTTTGGCTCAAGAAATTTCATTATACTTTACGGTATGTTTGAATTTAGAAGAATGGAGAAAAAAAATGAAAAGAAAGTCTTTTACTTTATTTTTTTTAATTTATTTAATGAAAAGGGGGAGTGAAGGAAAATGTAAGGATGTTGCATCTTTCCATTTCCTTTCATTCTCCTTCTTTCTCTTTCTCTTTCTCTTTCTCTTTCTCTTTAACCCAAACATACAGTTAAGACGTAGATTTGTTATAAGGTTTAGATTCAACTCATAAGTAAATAATATTAAAATTTAATTAATTATAAATGAAGATAAATAAATATCTAATCATAAATAAACTCAATCTAATTTATTAAAAAAAAAAAAAAACAAAGAGCAACAATTAGAAGTGGTCCTCAATTCTCTATTGCGGACTAGATTTGGTGTCATTGTGGGTGATGTAATCATGTAACCACACAAATAAATGTTAAAACTACACAAAAATACGATGATTATGTCTTGTTTGCTTGATTTCATTAGTTTTATAATTAGTTAGTGTGTTTGAAAATATCAATTTATTTATTTATTTTAAATTATTAAGTAATAGATATTAAGATAATGATACATATACTTTGTAAAATTACACATTCCATATACATTGGCAAAAACCATTAATGTATAACGAAAACCATAAATTTTAACAATATAAATAATAGAAATTGTTAATTTTAATGACATAAATAACGAAAACCATCAGTTTTAGCAGTTTGAGTAACAGAAACTGCCAGAATGTAACGAAATGTGTAACAAAATATATAACTTTATAGAATGTATATATCATTTCCCTATATATTAATTATTTAACTAACAATTCTAATTATTAACTATTATTAACAGTCAAACTAAATATAATCATAATTATTTTTTATAAAAAAA